TTACAAACGAGTGTTTTTGAGAATTAAGCCGGAAAATGTTAAAAAATATCGACAAAAAACTGTGGATCGATTTGTTGTGTTGTTGGGGTATATTTTGAGAGGAAATCCTGGGTTGAGTTTTTACCGGTTTTCCAATAAACAGTGTTAATCTGAATGAAGAAATAAATTGCATACAGTCTCTGTAAATATAAATTGTACCTACCTATTAGATACAATAAATACACATTTTAGTAGTGAAAAGTGTAAACATTTCAATTCAGTAAAAATCGTTAAACAAATAAGTCGTCTAAATTTAAACAGCATTTAGCATTATTAAAAGCGTTGATTAAGAATTCTTTAAAGTCTCCACTCAACGGTAAAATACCATTATATTATATTATGTATGTATAATATTATGTTGCCATTAATTCGTATTCGTATACCTATAGGTATATTTTGTTGTTTAAAATGCAGTTGTCGGCGTTTTTAGATAATTCAAATATAAAAATTAAGGTTATGTTTGTGCAAAAATTATTTTTTACTAATTTATTAAAAATGTCCAAACTTAAATATAAATTATATTAGGTATAGTCATCATTAGTTAATTCTGCACTAACAAATGTACCTACTTGCCGAATTGGATCCTTTGGCAAAACATGAAAATGCAACGATTTAGTTCTTGAATTTTATTTACAATTAAAAACGCAATAATTCACCATGATCCCTTTGATAAAATACATACACTAACGTAACTATATAAGAATTTAAGCTTTGAGTTTCCTAATCAATGATATAAGGAATAATTAATCCAAATCGAGTACTAAAAAAGTTTTTTAATTTTTTCCTTGCAACGTAAAACACAAATAACGTGCGCGATTTAGCTGTGCAATTGAACAAAATTTGTCGAGTAAAACTTCTGCCTTTCTCTCTTTTGTAAAAAAAACTACCTATTTATTTAAAAATGATGTATAATCGGTGCTTTAAATTTATTGTTGACAATTCTTAAATTCACGCAATGCATTCGAAGTCCACCAGATAGAGCGCGCGTTGCGATACTTCTTTACATTTTTCCTAGGAATCAAATATCTCCTACATTAACCAAAAATGGACCAGTCGAGGGAATTTATGGAGTTACCAGTAATGGTTCAGTGGTTACAGCATTTTAAATTGAATGCAAATTTAAGTCCAGCAAATCCTGTTCTGCTTTTGCTTGACTTCCATTATAGTTATATTTCTCTTAAACAAGAGAAAATAACTTTCCCAGATTTGGCTAAAATATTCAAAAATGCTTACGTTAAAATTTCGACTATGTTAAAGGTTATTTCAGGGTTTAAACTCAACTGGAATCTACCCATTTAATCCATATGAATTTACAAAAGAGGATTTTGAAGTTGCTAGCCAATATTTGCCTAATGTATATGATGATTTGGACTCTACAAATTATTTTGATCCATGACCGTCAACTTTAGTCATTCCAGCGATACCTCAATCGTGTCTTACAAAAAAAACAAAGCACACAAGTACTTTAGCAATAGAGAGCATTACAAATTTTGCAATTGCCTTTATTATATGGGAAAGATCAAGCTAAAAAAAGGTTCCAAGGGAAAGTCAGAGATATTAACGGCTACACCAATTAAAATAATTTCCAAAGAAAAAGAACTTGTTCTTTGCAAAGAAAAAATAAAAATTTTGCTAGAGAAGAAGGGTGTAAAAACATTAAAGAAATATGGAAATTGACTCTGATACTTTCGAAGACGATGCAATTGACAAGAAAGATCTTGTTAATGATGATGAACTGGATGACATGGTCGATGTGGATTCAATCGAGAAGGAGCAATGCTTGTTGTGCGAAGATTTCTGGGGAGTACGTTGCGGGCGTTGGGTACATGTCGAATGTAATGGGCAGGACTTTGAAGTCCTGCAATTGCCATTGACTATGAATGCAATTTTGCCTTAAAAAATCTTCTGCGTAAAGGGACCTTGTTGCAAAATTATAATTTAACTTGTAAAATATGTTTTATGTTTTCGTTTTTGATATGTTTCTAGCAAACTTTTCTTAATTTTGGGTATTTTGTAGTGCTTTTCCAATAAATAATATTTTTACAAACAGTTTTTATTTGCGTTTCTCTACCCGACAAAATGCCTACCATTATACGCTGTAAAGGCCTTAAGGCTAATAGTACGCAAAGCACAAAACTCCATTTATTTTGGATCAAATTTAAGATGACTTTGTTAAAGGAAAGGGAACCACTGCACACTGTGGTATTTGGACCTAAAACGTGGCCAAAAATCAATTTTGTTAATTTTTATTGCCAGATCTAAGATTTTGTTTTAAAGAAGTTAGATAACATGGCTATCTTTTGGTGTAGTTGAAACTTGAATTGGCCATCCCAGTCCGATGTACCAGCAGCTAGAACCTATAGCGCTCTTTTACATCGTAGGTCTTCGTTCGCGACACTCAACAAGAAAACAAATTTTTGCCGTGTTGTTTCTTATGTTAAAAGACATTTTGGTGAAAGAAATTAATATGGATGTCGTCAATTAAGGTATGTACAATATTTTAGGCAATATTTCATTTGTGTTATAAACTTTATTTATTTATATCGCGTACTATAACTAACTACCTAGAAATGCTTAATTTTTCTCGTTTTCTTAATCAAACAATGGTGTTTTTAAATATCGGCAACACCTCGCAACGGCATCTGCAACACATTTTATTAAACTTTAGGATATCTAGAATAATTGCAGCCATCAAAGTCATCCACATGTTTCCACATCCGCTAAAAATTTACCTTTGAAAACAGACATTTTAGTGCGGTCTTATAAAATTTTTAGGTAGGTGGATATATTAGAGGAATATTTGGCTTGGTTTTCGTCAACTTTTTTCAAGTTTAATATTAAGATTTTTATTTAAAAAGCAAGAATTAATGTACTTATATAGATTTTCACATGAATTAACAATGTAAATAAATTATATGTCATTAGGTAAAAAAATCATGGTTAATGGTAAGTACAATTTGAAACAATTAAAAATACTATACCTAATTAGGGCTTAACTAGAGTGTTAAATAGGTATAAAATAAAGAATAATGATTTTTTTACCATGCATTACTGCCAATCGGCCAATTGTCCGAAGAAGCAGCGGAAGCTAGGAACAAGCACTTCCGCGAATATAGGAAGAGTTTTTCTCGGAAGTTCTCTAGGGCACAATGTAATGAGGATGTGCTAAACCGACTTCTTTTAACTTCCGATCCTTATTTGAGCAGTTTAAGGCCGAAAAATAAAAAAGATAGGAAGGATTTTTCAAAGGAAGCTCTTCAATTTTTCATAATCAAAAACGATGATAGTGATGATGAATAATGAAAAATAAAATAATAAATGCATTTATTGATAGTTTATAGTTAATTATAGTTAGTTAATATATGTTTAATTGAATATTTTTATTGTGTTAATTGCACATAAGTAAAGTAGCTATTGTGTAATTTTTTAATACATTTTTGAACACACATATTTTTATTTTTAATAAAAAAATACCTACTATCACTTGTATACCTTTAGAAATATGTTTTTTAGTCATTTGCTACCCTTTTTAGGCAGAAAAAGTGCTCAAATATTTTTGGCCATGTTTTCGGTCCAAATACCTCTCTGTGCACTGTAGCAACCCTGTAGTCTTCAGTGATTAAATCATCTGATTTAGAATAAACATTACTTAGGTGAGTCCCATTCCCCTCCCCCCACTATACTTTCTCGTTACTATGGAGACGGTAAAATTCAACTTTATCATATTGTAGGAAGAAAAAATTATTGCAGTCATGTTGTGTAGGAAAGTTTCCTTTAAGAAGGGTTTTATTGAATCCTGGAAAAATGTCACTTTACCGCATATGTAGGTCTACAATATACTTACTATTTGTCTTCTTTAAAGATAGAAAAATTATAATATAATAAAGGGTTTTTCATTAGAGGTGATATATTTTTAAATCGAGAGTGTGGCCTTATTTGAAATGTCAAAAACTTCTTCTTAAGGTGTCTAATTTAATCGTGTAAAAATACACTCCTCAACAACGTTTGGAAATTTTTTTCTTATATTGCAACTTAGTGTGCTCGCTATTCGTCGAACTGTGAAAAATTTTGAACGCTATCTTTCTTTACAAAATGTTCGCATGCCAGTGAGACGTTCTCAATAGTTGGGACTGTCTCCAACAACATGGAGTATTTTACGGTTCAATTTGGTCTTGCATCCTTACAAAATTATCATGACGTAAGAATTAAAGCCTTTGGATCATCAAAAATGCCGTGAATTTGCTTATATTGCTCTGGAAAAACTTGAAAATGATCCTGATTTTACAAAGAAAATCATCTTATCCAATGAAGCTCATTTTCATCTTTCTGGATCGGTGCACCGATGAATAAATAAAATTGTCGCTACCGGTCTGATGCCAATCCACAAATTATTCACGGGGAACCTTTACATTCTGCGTTACTGTTAATGGTGGGCGATATAGATTAATGTTGTAAGAATTTTTATGGCCTTAATTGGAAAATATTGATTTAACGTACATGCTCTTTTAACAAGACCGAAATACATCCCGTGCCATAATTAATTTATTACGAGAAAAGTTAGGAGAACCAATTACTTCAAGAAATGGCCTCCAAGAAGCTGTGACTTAAAACCTTTGGACTTCTTTTTGTGAAGTTATTTTAAGTCTTTGGTCTATGCTAATAAACCAGCAACAATTTACTCAATTTAATTGAGGTATTAAAATTAAATATTGAACACCAAATTCAACAAATAGGTCCTAATTTATTAAATAAAGTGATCGAAAAGTGGACTCACCAAATTCAGCTCTCTAGGAGAAGCATATCCATTTTAGAACATAATTGCGTAGAATATACTTTAAATTAAAAAAAAATTGTTGCTTTAACACATATTGTTTTATTATTGTTTTCAAGAGTTTATTTATTTTTATCGTTTTTAAAATAAACCATATTGAAGTAGGCATTTAACTGTAAAAAAAATAATTAATTGTCAAAGTGATTAGTGTTGTCAAAAGATCAGTGAAAAAACGTAAGTAAACGTTCAACCATTACAAATTCAAAACCGAATTATCAACAACCAACCGCGAACCCATACAGTTCTAAATCTCCACAATATGTGGTACGAAATAATGCCAGGCTTCTTCATAATAGCAGCGGCAGTAGCTGTCCCACACGCAACCGCGTACATTTTAAACTATCTGGTGGTCGGTAATTTTTACAGGCGCAGTTTATTAACGAAAGATCTGCGGTTACAGTATCTTAGAGATATTAGAATTGGTGGTTGTGCATATAAAGTTAATGGTTTAGATGGATTGGATGGATTGGATGAATGTTCTCCTCCAGAAGCACCTCCACCACCACCAACTGCAGAGCAAAAGATGGAAGAAGTTCCCCCTGAGAGTGTAAAACAAGAAGAGAAGAAGTTGACTGTTGGAAATATATGCCAAAAACATCATGAATAAAATTATATTAATATGTTTGGTTTTGTTCAATAAATGTTCTTTATAACTACAATACAAGTTCCAGTAAAAAGATCATTCAATAAGGTTGTCATATTTTCATTTGTGCATGGTGGTCTGTCTAACAAAAGTAAAAAATTACACGATGTCACATTTTTATTAAAGTGGCTGTTTTATTAATAGAAAGAACAATTCGACTTTGGAGCGCCTGGGTCAGGTAATTGCAGTAGGTACATTGGAACGTTATCCTTTATGGCAAGGTATATTAAAAAATATATTTGTGGCAACTGGATGGTATGTATATGTGCGTAAAACAATTGAGCAGTGTTTTTACAGCCTAGGCTGTCTACTGCATCCCTCTCCATGCCTTTTTGTTTAAAAAAAACTGCATCTAAATCTCGTTTTTGTACAGCTTCTTTAACTTCCTGTTCTCAATTTCTACGTACTCTCCTTCCCCCTTTTCTTCTATTTTGTGGTTTTCATTTAATTTCCAAATTTATGAAACTTTTAAGACTGGACATTTACGATACTCAAGAAAGCTGTTGCTTACATACTCTTTCATACAAAATGGTATCGATTTTACTTTAGAAAAAAAAAGAACAATATCATTTACACCATTAAATTTTGTCAAAGTATGATACATTTGCCGACTAACTTCTTCCTATTTTAGCTTTAAACATGTCTCAAAACTCAACCCACCTCTTCTACAAATCGTTTTTCAACATCGTAGTGTGCGCCGGAGGCGAAGACAATAAAAAGGAGTTATGTTGCCCTGCCAAGGCTCCTATGATTATACCGTTGGACAAATGCACGGCGAAGAAAAACAAATGCCCGCAACCGCCGGAAGTAGCCACCTATCCAGACATACCCAGAATGCCCAATTGCGCCAACTGTGATGATTTACAAGTACATAGAAACGTTTATTTTGGATTTTTTTTATATAAATTTTTTTTTATTACCTCTATTAAAATTGTAAAGTAAATTTTTGTCAACTGTCAAAAAATGATTTTTTGTAGTGTCTTCCTGAAGAACCTGTATGTTCTGTACCAGACGAAATTCCATATTGCGATGCTACCTGCTCTCAACTACCATGTATACCCATCCAGAAAGCTCCAGATACAAAATGTCCACCGAAAAAAGAAAAATGCGAAAAACCATGCGAAGACGTTAAAAAGAAAGATAAATGTGGAACACAGCGAAAAGGATTTTCACTATTTGGTAAAAATAAAATCTTTAAATGATTAAAGAATTTTCATGAATATTTTAGGTAGATGATGCAAGTTTAAATGATTTATTTTGCAGTAACATTGATGATAATACGGTGGTTATCTATTCTTTTTAAATAATACAATCGCTTGGCAACAAATTTTGTTTTATTAGGATTTTGTATTATTAAATAATTGTGTATTCTTATTTATAACGAAAATAACAAAAATTTTATACAGGGTATCCTACGGTCACTGGAAAACCTCTTTCATCTTTTATAAAATTATTTTGAATATTTTACTCACTTAGTAATACGTGTAAATTAGAAAAATTACGGTGGTAATTTACTTTAGGTTTATTAAATTAATCAAAACTCTTATATACCTCCTTGGTAACGGGTAAGTTCCTTCCTTAACTCGATAAAACCATGTTGCACATTTTTTTTTAATTTATGGCATCAAAAATTTAGGGGTCGCCCATAATTAAACGTATATTCAAAATCAAAAATATCAAACAATAAAATAAAAAAGTACGATATAAGTAATGTGTTTGACGGCGCGCCGCGGCGCAGGAAACTGTTCTTCGTCCTTGGTCAGTGAATTTTTGATTAAAATTGATTCACCGTTCATTAACAATACTTTTTACGAAACTCTAAGAAAACCGGATCCCATGACCAATTTTAAGGTGGTACTCAGGAATTCTTCAGTTTTCCTCCAATAATAAGGACAATAAAGAAGAAGCTGGTCTTAGTAGTAAGATTGTCCATAGTGTAAAGATTTTTCTTTACCCCGACTCGGGGTCCCCGAGGTTCGTTAAAACAAGTTTTATGAAAAGTTGATAAATTAAATATTTTGTGGCTTTGGCTCGTGATCGTCTTACCCCAATTTGGACCTTTACGCTGTGTTTACTTACTTGTTTTATTAGATGCATTGCTTTAAGAATGATACGTGGGAGAAATAGGTTTATATGAAATAAAATACAGTGGCTTAATTTACCCCAATTTAATTTACTTTAACTTTTTACAAACAAGCAAGGGGTGGCTCTTAGGAGGGTTCGGCCAGGGAAAAAGAGCCTGAGAAAAAACCCTGGTCGGCTATGAAGTAGCAAAGGAATACGCGGTCAGGCATTGTACTTTAAAAATTACGCAAATTAATGTATTGGCGATATGGCTCGATACTGCATTTAAACAAAGATTTAAAACTGAAGAATATTGGGGTTAGTTAGCCGGGCTAGGCCCAGAATGTAACGAGGTCCACAATGGGAGGCAACCCGCCTATTTTAGTTGAAGGGTCGGGGAAAAGCGATGCAACCCTAGAGAACCTAGGGCAACCTTTTCCCCTCACGGGAGAAAAATATTAGTTCATACAACAAAGGCCCACGCACACAAACAAAGAGTACTCAAAGTTGGAACAATAACGGTCAGCACTCCTGGTTAAGCACCGAGTAATTTCGCAATACATCAATAAATTTGGACTGATCATAAAACAATGCTTAACCACGTTATAGAAAAGGGTACAAAATGATGGGTTAAGCACAAACAAAATACAAGGTTACATTTGAGCGGTACAAGCATTGAGCATAGCAAATTATTAAAATTATAGTGATAATAATAAAAACGAGAATAGGGGTGGTAATAGCTAAAAGAAAAGGGTTAAAAATAACGTAAAATACAGCTAAACGTAATAGTAAAGGATAAATATACTCATAATAGCAATAATTATATAATAATAATATTAACAATTTTAAAATGCACAATATTACGTTTAGTTAATTTTACTACACATTTAAATAGATTAAATATTTAGAACTAACCTTGTAGAATACACTAACAACACTTTTAACAATGATTTTAGAACAATAATTTACTTTTACAATTTTACCAAAGAAAACGAACTGTACTGCACCGAATTCAAAACGCTTCTCCGCATCTCTCCTTTTCAAAAACCTTCTTCCTTTACCTCTGGTGGAAATCCCTCAGTGTGTACGCCAAATGTTTTTCAAGCTCCAAGCATACCTCTCTTGTTTGCTTGCAAATTTTCTACCTAAATTTGAAATTTTACTTGCCTTAAACATAAAGTTTTATTACTTAATCCTATTTTAAAAGTACAAAAATAAAATTTATAATAACACGTATTTTAATAAATTTATACAGGGTGATTCTTTTTCGGAACCATTACAATAGTAAAATAATTTTTCTTTGTTAAATCAATGCGACATGGACAATTTTGAACACTTTGGATTTTTAACCATTATTTAATGATGCGGTTCAGTATATCTTCTAAGAATTCAGACTGGGTGGCAAAATTTTGAATTTCAGATGTCCCCAGAAAAATAAATCAATGGGAGATAAATCCGGTGATCTCGCCGGCCATTCTATAGCACCTCTTTTCCCAATCCATCTACCAGGAAACGTTTCATCCAGAAACTGCTGAATAGGTAATGCATAATGCTGAAACAACGGATTTTCTTCATGTTAACGGTGGTCGTTTCCATAATCTCGATCAGCGCTGGGCATTCTCCAACACGTCTAAGTAGCTCCATTTAAATTTCCCGGTAAGAAAAATGGTCCAATTATGTGATCACCAAAAATACCAGCACAAACATTAAATTTCTTAGGATGTTAAGTATGAACCTCTTGATAGATCCTTGGATTCCTGTCGGACCAATAACGATAATTAAGACGATTGATAATGCAATTGAGAAAAAATGAACATTCATCTGAGAATCAAACATTAAAAAGGTAGTTGGGAGTATTTATAATTATTTCGGACATTATTTCAGAAAATTGTCAACAACGGTCATTATCATCTCCATACAATTCTTGAAGAAGTTGAATTTTATATGGGTGCCATTTATTATTTTTCAGAATTCTCTGTACGTTGGCCCTCGAAACTCCCGTTACATCAGAAAGTTTTCTGGTATGTAATGTAGGGTCCAAAGTAATTTTACCCAGAACAGCTATTGCCTCATTTCTAACCGGATTTTTAACATCTCGTTTTTTATTTGCCACAACCAGTTTGCCGAAATTTTGCTACTAATTCTATAGATGTAACCATGATGTAGGTGTGTCTATTTGAATGCCTCTCATTAAACAAAGTTGCTGTTACTCTTTAAATTGATTGTTTATAAAATACAATTTAATAATTTCCACTCTCCGCAATAGAATAAACCATTTTTTATCGAATCGAAAGAAAATAAAAGCACAGAAATAACGAACTATCGACACCTACTCTACTGTAGATAAAGTCGATTTGTCGACTGATATTTGTTAGTTAGTTTATTAGTTTAAAAACAAATTTTTCCATTAATTTTTTGCTTTATGAAATTTTTAAATAAGCGTTTTATTAAAATGTTCGGAATTCCATTGCTCGGTGACGCGTAGCTCAAATTTAAAAAACGAAGCGCCATTTAATGCCCTTTTAAAATATGTATCACAACATACGCCTCATTGCAAAAATAAGGGCGAATGCCACCCCCGCTAAGTGATGACATTAATTTGTTAATATGTCCCCATTAAAACAAAAGTATACGAGTTCGAAGATTTTTTTTATTTTCTCACACTGTTTTCGATGAGCCACCCTGTATATAATTAAGAATAGGTACAAGAGGCGCACTTCATAAAAATGTGAGGTAGTATTTTGTATGGTGTTCTTTTAAAGGAACGATGGCATTATCTGGGTTAACCCCCTATAATAATAATAATAATAATAATAATAATAATAATAATAATAATAATAATAATAATAATAATAATAATAATAATAATAATAATAATAATAATAATAATAATAATAATAATAATAATAATAATAATAATAATAATAATAATAATAATAATATAACTTTTAGCAATAGCTATTTTCACACAAATTTTAAATACATAGGCAACATTAAATAAATAAAATAGTCTTAAAAATTAGTTTTAACATAGTATATACACAATTTCTTAAAGATTATTAAATTATCACATATTTTTAAATCACATATCACTTATTACATATTTTTATATCACTTAAAAAATAACCTGTTGAAAGTTCTAGAGGCGTTACATGTGTTTATATAAAAATCATTTCTGCTTCTAGTGTTATAATAATGAAATTCAGAAGTACCTATACGTTATGTTATTTGAAAAATATTTTTTTATTTTGTGTATAAATTCCAATGTTCTAAAGATATTCTTTTGTTTTACAGACATACAATTTAGAACCTAAAATAGCTGGATTTTAAATTTTTCGCATATTTTCAATATCACTTGCTTTAAATTTAATAAAATTGTAGATAAGAGTAAAACTGAAAGTGTGGCACAATAATTAAGTTGTAGATTAAAATTTTTATTTACTTAATGATTTTCCAACTCTACTTAAAAAGTACACTTTTTTGACATGTTATGCATTAAGTAAATTGCATGATTTTTACATGATACAGTTTTATCAATTTCTGTGACTCTATCGAGATTTATTCTATTAATACAAACATTGAAAGGAGTATTTAACAAATTAAGTCTATGTTTTGATCCTAACACAATGAACTTACTTTTTTACATTTATACAAAGCCACTTATACAAGGTGTCCCTAAACTTAGTGGCATAAATTTAGGAGCAGATTAAGCAAGTCGAAAATCTAAATAAATATTTTTCCTAATTACGTATACGTATACTTTATCACCCTGTATCTTTTAAACATATATGTTTAAAAGATACAGGGTGATAAAGTATTACTTATCATCAGTTTTTTTAATATAACTTCTACTGTAGACTTGGAAAGGTGATATTTTGCGAACAGTGACTTACTACCAAAACACATATTCACACATAATTACATTAATTGTTCGAGTAAACACAATTATTGTTCGAGTGAACACAGTGTCGTAGAAACAGAGATATTAAATTTTATTTTTTAATAATTGTGTTATCGCATTAAATGACTAGAAGGTTCATGAAATGCTCTTTTTAGTTTTTTCAATTATTGAAAAAACTAAAAAGAGCATTTCATGAACCTTCTAGTCATTTAATGCGATAACACAATTATTGTAATCTCGAATATCTCGAAAACGGTTTATTTTATAGAAGTTTGAGAGGCACACCTTTTTAATAGTAGTCGAACTGAGTAATCGAAAAATTGCATCAAATGGTATAAAAACTTATCCTCAAAGTTTG